AGGTTTATTTAGACGACAGGAACACAGTCCAAGACAGGTCTTGCAGGTACAGACAACAGGAACCCCTTAGTCAGGTCCATCTTAGGGGGGGGAGGGGCAGGGAGGCCAGAGCCCTGTCTGGGCTCCCTTTCATTTTCCCAGCCAGCTCCAAACTGAAAACTCTCCAGCCCCTCCTCTCCCTTTGTCTCCTTCCCGGGCCAGGAGGTCACCTAATCTCTTTGTTCTCCAACACCTTCAGTTGGCACCTTTGCAGAGAAGGGGCCCAGGCCATCAGTTGCCAGGAGACAAGGTGTCGGCCATTCTCTGTGCAGACAGCATCACACTGGCTCCCTAGGGCTCTGCGACAATCACACACCCCTAGACACTCGAGAAATGCACAGGGGAAACTGAGGCACCCACACAGCACTCAGAGAAAACATTAAGAACATTCCCACTTTGTCCACCCCCCCCCCGCCTGAGGGAGAGAGAGGATTTTAACAGAGTTCAGTAGTTCTATTTGCTATCACTTGAGACAAAGAGTTACATATAAAATTAAATCATAACACATGTACTCCAGAGCCTAGATTTATCTAACAAGATTCCCTCCTGTCTATGAAGTTTATCTTACCCAAAGTTGTTCTCCCAGCGTTTAACAGCCTGGCTGGCTGTGAGCCTTTTTTCATGAAGCAAATCCACGGTCAGCTTACTTCCTAAGTGAAGGATTCATCATGATCCTCTGTATCCCCAGTTATACATCCCTTGTCTGCACTTGTAAACAGGATAACCCCCACTGCTTGTGTTTTCCTGTCTAGGGTCTCTCCTGGACACTTTGCACTCACTTGATTAGCATTTTCCTCAGATTGTAAATGGATGCCCATGGTGCACTCAGTTTATATGTAGACAGACAGATAAACATCTTTTGCCTGAAAGAAACTTGTTTAACAAGTTCTGGTGACAGGCCCCAACTCAGAGACCTTAAAAACATGTTTTTCAGGGTATATATACATAATTCTTCACACGTTATCCATACATACATCTCGCAATTATGATGACCAGTGTGACACAGGCTTTTGGTATAGACCTTTCATGACACTCTTTGGCAAACTAATATGTAGATATCAGTCCCAAGGGAATCCTGTAACTCATGCACCCCTGTATCCTCTGCCACATGGCACTAAGAGATCCCTGAGTCACAGTGACCTCCTGTGTATCACAGGCCATTAGGGTGACCAGATGTCCCGATTTTATAGGGACAGTCCTGATTTTGGGGGCTTTTACTTATATAGGCACCTATTGCCCCACACCCCCTGTCCTGATTTTTTACAGTTGCTATCTGGTCACCCTACAGGCCATTAAATTTCACCCAGTTACCCCGGTATTGAGCCCAATAATTTATGCCTGACTAAACTTGCAGAAGAGCATTCAGTCATGATTTAAAGACATCAAGAGATGGAGACTCCACCAATTCCCTTGGTAATTTGTGCCAGTGGTTAAAAATTGTGCCTTATTTGTAATTTGAATCTGCCTGGCATCAGCTTCTAGCCATTGTTATGCCTTTCTCAACTAGATTGAAGAGTCCTTTAGAACCTAGTAGTCTCTCCCCATGAAGGTACTTACATATTGACTTCAGTGGAGTTATGTATTTACGCCAGTGTTAATGAGGCCAGAATTTGTCTGGAAAAGGGTTGGTTTTTTTGGCATTGGCTTCACTGGGACCAGAATTGGTCTCTTGAGCAAGTTTTTCTTTATTTTATTCCAACCTAGCCCACCCCTTTCCAACCACTCATATTGATTTGGGTTAAAACAGGCCACTTTATCTTAAAGTTATGTTTGCTGCATAGTGCTCATTTATATCCTCCCCCCCCTTCTATAGCTTGACCTTTAATAGGGGTAAGGAAGTGGCTGTTGCTAATATATTCACTTTGCCACTGTAGTCAATGTTAATGCAAAGACTAATGTTCTCCTGCAGCTGTTGCAGTGATGTGTCATGCGTAGTGTTCTGTCTCTAAACAGAATTGGCTTTCTGTATTGCACTTACAGTGTGAATAATTTCACTGTTATGGTACAATGACAGCTGAAGATGCTTAAAAAAAGAGAGAGAGAGGAGAAAATGTGATAAGTGAAAGTGTGGCAACAAGACACTTATGTCAGCATTACTATTACATTTGAGGGAATGTAACATTTGATCGCCATACAGATCTTCTAAAATGCAAACACTGTATGTCCAATGAGAACACAGAGTGATGTTAATTGTAATTGGTTCAAAATGCTTCAACACAGAGTTTTTACTTTGTCATTAGCTCCCCTGTGCTGTAGTTTTAAGGTTATTCTTTGAACACAATAAAATTTAAAGCAAGGAAAGCTAGTATAAGAGCAACACAGACATTTTTATTAACTGTTTCATCCATGAAACAATCTTCCTAAATGCACACTTGTATTTTTGCACTTACATCATATTTTTTAAAAAAATCACAGGAGTTTACAAAGTCCTGTTTGTGGGTCAGGGAAGGGGATCTGAATTACTCTCTGTGAGCCAGCGCTTGAACACATGTTGAGGGGGCCGCTGGTAGAGTTATCTCCTTTCTGCTACGCTCCATTGGGGCAGCCGGTTAAGCTAACTGCAGCTGATGGTGCGGGTACTTAGCTGACATTTTAATTATTTCAATGGACAAATCAGTAGCATGCAGCAATACAGCAATCAGAGCATAGGGCTAGGAATTAAAGGGTAAAAGTGTGTAGCGCAGACACCTTGACATTTGGCCCAGATCCTCAAAGATATTTAGGTACCTAATTTCGGTTGATTTCAATGGAAGTCATGAGCCTAAAACCTTTGAGGATCTGTATTTTAAGGGGAAAATCCAGACTGCCTCAGGAAATAGTTGTGGTGGAGCAAGGTGGTACATTTCCCTTTGAAGCAGCACTCAGCCAATGTCCCAACAAGATTTGATGGGGATGGAATCAGACTGAATAATCAGAGGGTTTTTAGAGCTGTCGGTCTAACACCTTTCAAGAAACTGCAGAAGTGACTGCGTTCCAGAGATGGGTGAAGTGATTTCTGTCTCCTACATATATAAGGGAACGGTTTAGCTCTTCTATTCAGGCAACACGGGTATTTTACCAAGAGTAAGGAATGCAAGTGTTAAGGTATTCCTAGGGTTTCCATCAGCCCCAATCCGTGGCTCCAGGGAAGCTTGTCAGGCCTGGAGGTGGGCTTTCAGTGGGAGGAACTCCATGCAGTAAGGGTAGCACTCAGAAGCAAGCAGAGGCAGGGCTCTCAGACTGGGGGGGCCCTGTGGCACCAACTGACCTATGGCTTGCAAGCACTCCTGCGTGAGCCCTCTGTGGAGAAAGATGGGCGGGCTGGGTCTCTTTGTTGAAATCCCCTAGGATTAATCCCTTATCTTTACTCTCACTGAAGAGTGAGAACTGGGACTGCGTGACTGCTTCTCTCTCCCTTGCTCTAGGAAGGGGGCTGGGGAAGTAGTTTGCTTTTGTTGGGAATGCTTTACATTCCCTGCCAGGGGGCAGACTTCTTAAATGACACAGCTGGAGTGCTGCACCCTAGAACCAGACCACAGGGTTGTGCCCGCCCACAGAATGAGGTAAGGGAAGGCCCCAAGGGGATGACTTTGAGATGTTAACCTTTGCCAAGGCTAATATGACAGTCTGACTCCAACCCAACAAAGCACTTGATATTATTAAGGCTTTTTTTAGTAAGGCCGCCTGACATTCTCATAAGCAAACTAGGGAAATGTGATTTAAATTAAATTACTATAAGGTGGGTGCACAACTGATTGAAAGACTGTATTAAAGAGAAGATATCAGTGGTTCACTGTGAAACTGGGAGGGCGTATCTAGTGGGATCCTGCAGGGGTCAGTCCTGGGTTCAGTGCTATTCAATAGTTTCATTAATGATGGGGTAATAGAGAGGAGAGTATAGTTGCTCTTAAATTTCTTAAAGAAATTCAATAAAGACAAGGGCGTAGTACTACACTTAGGAAGGAAAAATCAAATGCACAACTACATAATGGGAAATAACTGGCTAGGTGATGGTACTGCTGAAGAGGATCTGGGGGTTACAGTGGATCACAAACGGAATGAGTCAGCAAAGTGATGGAGTTGCAAAAAAGGCTAGTTATTCTGGGGTATATTAACAGGAATGTTGTATGTAAGACACGGGAGGTAACTGTCTCACTGTGCTTGGCACTGATGAGGCCTCAACGGAAATACTGTGTCCATTTCTGGGTGCTAGACTTCAGGAAGGATGTGGATAAATTAAAGAGAGGCCAGAGGAGAGCAACAAGAAACCTGACCTATGATGAAAGGTTAAAAAAAACCAACTGGGCATGTTTAGTCTTGAGAAAAGAAGATTAAGGGCGGGACCTGGTAACAGTTTTCATATATGTTAAAGGTTGTTATATAGAGGACGGTGATCAATTAATTGTTCTCCATGCCCCCTGGAGATAGGACAAGAAGTAATGGGCTTAATCTGCAGCAAGGGAAATGTAGGTTAGATATTAGGAAAAACTTTCTAACTATAAGAGTAGTTAAATTCTGGAGCAGGCTTCCAAGGGAGGCTGTGAAGGGTTTTAAGAAACCTGTCTGGGGTAGTCTAGATTTCCTTGGTCCTGCCAATGTCCCTTCCAGCACTCTGTTTGTATGATTCGAGGTGTGTAACTTTATGCACACAAGCAGTCCATTGAAACGGGCAGTCAAAAGGACTACTTTCAGGCTTAAAGTTATGCATTGTGTTTAAGTGCTTTGCTGCATCTATGCATGTACACCTCTACCTCGATATAACGCTGTCCTCGGGAGCCAAAAAATCTTACCGCATTATAGGTGAAACCGCGTTATATCAAACTTGCTTTGATCCGCCGGAGTGCGCAGCCCTGCCCCCCCGGAGCACTGCTTTATCGGGTTATATCTGAATTCGTGTTATATCGGGTCGCGTTATATCGAGGTAGAGGTGTATCTGTTCTTTGTAGCTACACGTGTCTACCTAGATGCCACAAACTAGATAGGAAACAACTTACAAAACTTTTCCTTGGAACTATTTTTAGTCAGTTCTGCTTTGGGGAAACTATTTCCATAGCAGTCAGTGGGTGTAAGTGGTATCCTGTATGCACCAGGTGCTTCTACAGTGTGAGGGGGAAACTGAGGCCTGAGAATATTCAAAATAACATTCAGAAACACCACCCAGACACTGTTTATTAAATTAGAAGAAATGTGCACATAAAACTAACGCCCCCATATGAAATTCAATACGTTGCAGTCAGTATGTAATGCCATTCACACTCAAATGGAGACATAAATTACCAATATGATAAACTGTATCACTGGATCAGGCAGTTATACGAAGAACCAGTACACTGTCTTCCATGTTATTGACTACTGAATTGAATTAATCAAGCAATGAATCATATCAGTATTGAATTAAGTACAAGGTGCCAGGTCCTTCCCTCATTAACAGAAATTGTGTGTTGTGTCCAGCTGAGGTCTAGCTGTGATCTCTCTTATAAGAACATAGGATTTACCATACCAGATCAGACCATCATTCCTTGTAGTTCAATATGTGACTTCAAAGGAAGGCAAAAATTCATATATCCATACCTAGCCACTTGTGCGGTGAAAAATGGGGTGAAAAACTTTCTTTATCTCTGCAGTGATCAGCTGATGTTGTGAAGCATGAGATTTGATCTCCTACAAATGTTATTACTGGTCATGAAACTGTCCAGTTCCTCTCTAACTCCAGCTGCAGTATTAGATTCTCTGACTAACCTGGGCTTTGAATTCTAGTGTAGTGAATTCCCAAATTACTGCCTGTGAAAGGGATGAAATCACTGAGACACATGAAAGGCCTGTAGAAGCTCAGTCAGTGTGTCTGTAATCCTAGTATCACTTCTAACTAAGGAACTGATGTTTCTATAGCACCTGCTGCTGTAGTATATAAGCACTGACTTTCCAGAAATGATATGGAAAAAATGACACCAATCTTACTAGCGGAAGGATTAGTGGGTAACAAAATGCCTGCCTTAAACATGCTTTCTTGGGCTGGCACCACATCTTTCAGACCGTGTTTGGAAGCATCGTTGTAGAGAGAGGATATTTCTCCAGAACCTTCCCATGAGAGAGCTCCATCCTCCCCATGATGTCACACTACATGAAGATAAATGCCAAGGTCATAGGGGGCTCAGAAGTAACGAAGTTAGATAGCATTCAAGTTCCAATACTTCTACTTGCTTCCTCTTTGAGGAATTTCTTGCTAGAACGCCTCTTCCCTAACCTCCACTTCA